ATCCCACTTGAGTCTTAAAACGGCAGCAGCTCTGTTTGCCTGAGCGGTAAAAAGTACTTGTACATCCAGACCGCCACTGGTAAATAGTGAAACTGTATTTGCCAAAGAGTAAGAAGATTCTGCTATGAACAACTGCCGGGTATGCTTAAGTTCACCCAAAAGGAAAAAAAAAAGCAAACAAAAACAAAATTCAGAGGGATTACGAAGCAGCTAGTTCTTCCATCCCTCCACCCCGCCCCCAGCCCGAATTTTAGGAATGTTATCTCTCAGCATCTAGTTATCCAATAAGTTGGAAGAATGCAGTAAACCCAGCAGGGGTCTTAGATTCAATCACTGCCAAATGGATAGAAAATACTCTTACTATTGTATAGGAAGAAATTTCATCTACTAGTGACCAATCAAATTCTGAAGACACTGAAATGCTTAAAAAGTAAAACCTGTATATCTTGATAAAAGCACTACGGACTCAAGCTTATCTGGTTTTCATTCCTACATTTAAAGAGCTACAATGAGCAGATTATCTGAAGCACACAACATCTTCTACCCTCCCCCACCCCAGGATAATTGCTTACCAAAAAAACAAAAGGAAATTATGTGCCTTGAGTATTTAACCAGTTCAAAGAAAAGTGCCTCTTTAAGCTGTTTAATTTTAGCAGTCAAATAAAGTCTTCAACTCAATTCATAGATGGCAAATTAAGACTTTAAGTTTCTACCCAATTAAGATCTAAAAAAGGCAGTTTCAAACAGCCTTGAAACAAAATTCATGGATTCTGCTGGAGAGTTAAAAGAGTAAATGGCTCAAAGAAAGCTTCATAGGCGCTAAGGCATGTGACCTCTCTCAGCTTCCAAGGTTAGAAATGTGTCCCACTCCACCCCAACTAGAGATCATGCAAGTTTGTAAACTCCATGAGGGCAGGAGCTTTTGTTGCCTTTCTCCAGAGCCCCCTTGAACAAAACCTAACACAGACATACAATTCGTTTTGGTGGGCCCTGGGGGGCAGAGGGAAAGGATTGTGGTGACTGGCAATGCAGTTCTTGTCTGGATTTAGTGGTTTTTAAAAAGGTTTAGACATTTTGGACAGGCGTGGTGGTGGCTCACGCCTGTGATCCCAACACTTTGGAAGGCCAAGGAGGGCAGATCACAATGGTCAGGAGATCGAGACCATTCTGGCTAACACGGTGAAACCCCATCTCTACGAAAAATACAAAAAATTAGCCGGGTGTGGTGGCACATCCTGTAGTCCCAGCTACTTGGGAAGCTGAGGCAAGAGAATCGCTTGAACCCGAAAGGCAAAGGTTGCAGTGAGCCAAGATCATGCCACTGCATTCCAGCCTGGGTGACAGAGGGAGACTCCATTGCAAAAAAAAAAAAAAAGTTTAGACATTTAAAAAAAGAGTCAAAAGTACTCTAGGTTAAAGGTGATGAGGAAGAGAACTTCTGGAACTCTCCGTCATCAATTTTTCCAAGGTAGTACAACCCACAGAAGCCAACCAAACTCCAACGTTGTTTTACTTCTGGGGCTGTTGTATCAAACTGTACGAAGGCACATCCCAACATTTAAGATGGCAGAGGAGAAGCCACCAAATCCAATCAGCCAAGCACCAATCACGGCTGCCTTGTCAAAGATGCCAAAAAGCAAATCTCATCACATCACCAACTAAACACACAGCTCCTTGGACTCTGGGGCCGAGGCTAAAATCAAGCAGGACAAGACACCATGGGCAAAGCCATTTCAAACAGGTGCTGCAATTTACTCTAAAATGAGTAAAAGTATGACTATCAATTTTGGCCTTTAATATCTGGAATTAAAGATAGCTCTCTAGTCCCCAGCTTGGCATCTGGCAGGCAGCGCACTTCTGTTTCTGCTCAACTGCCTCAACTGGGAGCTCAACACCATCTTGATACAATGGAGAAATACAAATAAAAACATTTCGGTATTTTGAGCCAAATTAACATTGATCACATTCCCCATTTATAGCAGGCCTTCTATAGTTGAAATTATCTAAACAGGGCATTTTATCACCACTATACAGAGGAGAACCCAAAAACTCAGGGGAAAAAAATAAGAAAAACACCAAGCTGGCTTCGGCTGAAAGTCACAGCCAGACTGGAATGCGGATCTCACCCTAAAACCTGACTTCCCAGGCATCAGCGTAACACTTAACATTTTGAAAAAGGAAATGCGAACTATCCACTGCCTCCCAAGATGGTTCCCCAACCCACAGCCCAGGAGGAAGCTCAGTAACAGCAGCTTGAATGACAAAGTATCATTTGCTTGTGCACTGCATATGTTTATTGAACAAAAAAGCTGTTTGGCAAATTGCAGCTTCTCTCCCTGTGAGAAACCCATATGAAGTCTAACTAGAAATTTAGCCTGAAACGTTAACTAATGTCAAAATCTTTCTAGCCAGTGCGGGTCATTTTGGTGAGTAACTGGAATTAGGAAGTTATTGGAAACTTGGGAATCCTAATCGTTGATGTTTGTAATCCAGTTTAGCACAAAGGGCATTTGAAACCCTTTTGAGAAAATGCTAATTTTTCCTGTAAGTAGTGTTAGCCCCGAGACCACCTGCAGATTTTTTGATCTGCTAATAGATCGCCAGACGTCATTTTCCTCCCTCAAAAACTGCACTCAAATGGCTTTGCCAAGTAAGACCAGCCCAATCTGCATTTTAAAAAATTATGTGAAACATATACATACATCTAAGTTACATATGTAACATATATATAATTTCAGGCGCATCAAATGCAAACAACTCAAACGCAGCCATTAAAAACGCACTGCTTGGGAAAACCACCTTCCGTCCCAAGGAGGCAATTGGAGGCTCTACAAACACATTCTAGCAGCCAGGAGTTATGACCCAGAGTTCCAGACTTGGCAAAGACCAGCGGGCACAGATGGCTATCGCGCCGGCGACCCGCACGAATCCCCTGGGGTACCCATCCTCGGCCCAGCCCAGTATTCTCCATTAGCCGCCCCCTCAACCGTCCCACCCACCAGGTGTGAGCCGGTACCTGCGAAGGGACCCGCCTCCCAGCAAAGGGCTAGGCTTCAAGCTGGGCCTCCAGGGGGCGTCCGTGCGCAAGCCGGGTGGGCTGTCCGCGACAATCCCGGTGATCAATAGCGAACTCCCCGCCCAAATCGCGGTGGCAGCGCACGGCCAGGCCTGAGGTCTCAGCTCAGCTCAGGTTGACTCTGATTCCAAACTCCAACCAGCGTTAATTTCAAAAGCTCTCCCATAACAAGCTTCCCTCCCGAAAGGTGCCAAACACCACCAAAAGCCCCACGTGTGTGCGCCCACCCAAAATGAAGGGGGAAGGGGAGGTCAGAGTAGGACCAGGGGAGGGGTCAGAGCCAGGAGCTCGCCCCTCCTCTCCGGAGGAAGCGGGCGGGCTGAGCGTTAACCCTTTTGTTCCAGGTGGGCCAGGCCACGAAGCCTTCACGCTCCCCTCAACCCCCACCACCACCCCGCCCCCCAACCCAGGCACAAAGAGAGTCCCTACAGGCGCGGGGGACCTCGGGTGCGCGCTGCGCTGCATCCGGCGCCCCGAAAACGCCCAGCCGTCCCCTCCGTCAAACCGATCCTTTTAATTTGCCCTGGAAAAATGTTCCACGGGGGATTTCATCGACCTACTTATAAACTTGGGAAATGTATTACATTCGGTTTCCGACAAAAAGGGGAGGGTACGGAAGCCAAAAAGTAGCGACCGTCTTCTCGGGAAACTCCGGGCACCGGAGATGGGCTCTGAGAGTCCGTCGGGGTGGCCGCGCACAACCGCCTGCTGCGGGGAAATTAGAAAGCAGGCGGGGAGCGGAGCGACGAACAAGGCGGGAGAGGAGGCTACGAATCCCCCTCCCCCAACGCGTACGCTAAAAACTTATCAGGCGACAATTTGGCGGGCCAGGATGGAGAGGAGATAGTGGGAAACCGCCTCGCTCCCAAAACCTCCGCGGTGAAGTGGGGAAAGAGTTGGCCCCGCGGCTCCGGGCGCGGCTGGGGTCCCGAACTCCCCTCGATCCGGGAAACGCTGGCCGCGGAAGCGCGGGCCGGGTCAGCCGCGGGAGCTTGCCCGGGTCCCCCACCTCTCTCCCCTTTCACACCCGGGCGCGAATCTGGAAAGCCGGGCGCTCCAGAAAAGCCACGCCAGACGGGAAGGCGATGCACCCCAGCGGGACTGCCGCGCGCCCGCCACCCCGGCCACTGGGGGCTCGCACCCTCGGGCTTGCCGCGGTTATTTTTAGGAAGTCGGAAATCAAAGATGGCTGGAGGTCAGGCCCCGAAAGGTTAGGGCGAAGATCGGCAGGCGGCGCAGCCCGGGCAGAAAAGGCGAAAACCAAAAAAAAAAGAAAAAAATTTTAAAGGGTAACATTGAGCTCTCCTCCCCCACCCCTCTGGGCCCTCCAATCCCCGGCGCAGCGCGGGTGGCCCGCACCCCAGCTCCTGAGGGTGGGGAGAGGTCGCGCCCCCTTCCCCCACTCGGCCCGGGAGGGGCGCGTGCAACAGATCGTCCTCCTCCGGGGGGTCTTCCAGGGGTGCGCCCCTCCTCCGGCCTCCTAGAAATGCCCCCAAGGGCCGGTGGAGAGGGTGGGGATCCCCCGGGGTTCTTTCTTTTGAAAGCGACGCGAGGGAGGGGACCTAAATTACAAGGAGGGGGGAAACACCAGTGAGGGGAGTGGAACCAATTAAGTGAGGGGCAGAGGACAAGGAGAAGGGAACCTTTCGGGAACCAGGAGCGCGGCGGAGTGAGTGGGGGTCAATTTTTCAATAAGCTGGGAAGGCTGGGGGTGAAACTTACACCAGAGGGGAGAAAAGGGAAAAAGTGTGAAATGTGTACCAGGCGGGGTGGTGGGAACAGGAGCTGCCGCTCCTCCCGGGCACCGGGCCCCTAAATCTCGGTTCCTGAATTTGCGCGGAGCGCCCCGAAGCCCGAGCCCTCGAGGATCCCGCGGACGTACGGGAAGCTACCCTCCCTGGGCGTGCGCCCCAGCCCCACTCACCCGGCTCCCCCGCCGCGGGCGCCGCTGGGGCCGCATCTGCAAACTCCGGGGTCGCCTGCTGCGGCTGCTGCTCGCCCTGGTCCTCCTCGGAGTTGATGTGCTGGGGTTTCGCCTGCTTGCGCCTCGACATGGTGCGAGCATCTGGGCGCCTGGAGAGCCTCAGTTATTTGCCCTCTCCGCCACAAATTCCTGGAGTTGGGAAATTTACCCCCCTTCGGCCGGAACGCGCATGTCCCAGTAATTATTATTATCAATAATGCATTGCGATTTATCATGAGCCCTGACAGCTGATTGGCCTGGGTCCAAGACCTCAGAGATCATTTAAATAAGCCCTCATTGATCAGGGAGGGGCGAGGCATTCTGGGCTTTGTAGTCCGGGCCTACTTGTGACAAAGGCGTGTTCATCAGGGGAGCGCAGCTAATTAGCATCCGGGCTCACATTGGCTGGGGCGAGGACGGAATCAGAGGGGGACCCATCCTCGGTCCAACTATCTGAGTCCTTGGAGAGGAAAAGAAAATGGGGGGAAGTGCGTACTTATTAAAAAATAGCAGCGTTTAAGTAAAAGTTTTGGAACGGGCGTATTTGGTAGTATGCTCCACAGATTACTTTGTAAGGTTGATGTCCACCAGCCGAGAAGGGAGGTCTCTTCACCGTGGAATAGTTTGGCTCAGTTTTCACATCTACGCGCGCATACACACACTCCCCCAAACCTGAGATGTGACCCCTCCCATCTTTTTGGTTAAAAATGTTTGAGTCTGAGATAACTGAAGGAGGATGAATGGTGGTGTTTTCAGCTCTCCCACCCATCTCAACTCTTAAAGTGAGCTTGGAACTTCCAAAATTTCAGATTACCCCACCACCACCACCATGACTTATCTCTTCTAAAAGCTTTCCATTTTGCTTGTATTCCTGATTAATAGCGCCCCTGTTCACAAGGACTGGTTTGTTGCCACAGTGCAAACCTTGATTTTCTTTTTTAAGTTCAAAATGACTGGCTATTAAATATAGAAATGACAAATTATAAGCAAGCATAGTCAGACATAATATCAAAACAGCAAGCGATTGCATTTTTCCCCAGAAGCCATAAATGCCTGATAACATTTTTTACTTCGATAATGCTTTTGCATCTCCCATGGAATAGCAATGGGGCTGTCACAGTATCTGGGTATTACTAATCACTATTGGATTTTTTTTTTTTTTTTTTGCAATACAGACATTACTACAGAAAAAGTATATAATTCAAAGTGATTGTATCTTTCTGACACATGATACCTGGAATTTTCTAAAGTCAGGCTTCTGTGTGTGTATATGACATACTACATGTATATACATTTCTTTCGTAAATCCATGTGTATGTAATTTAGCTAACTGCTTTGCACGATGTACATGCTCAATAAAGGTTAAATGGATGATGAAATCGTCAGCCTGCTAAATCTTTGATTGGTCATTCCATAACTGCTCTGGGCATGCGTCTTTGTTGGGCATTTACTTCATTGTAAGGGACTGTGCAGATATAAAACCTTCCTCCACATTTGTGCATTGCATTCTCTTGATTAGTTATTCATCACGTTCCCAGCTTGTAAACTCATCAGGAATAGAAGCAAAATGGAAAGCTGGGCTCATCAATGTGTTCACCTGGGCATTTGGACAACCCAAGGCAGAAAATAAATCAGCTTGATCATCTTTTTTATATTTGTGGCCATCAGTAAAAACTTATTGAAGGAAGATTAACCCCCAATTTTTGAGTCTCTGAAAAAGTCTTGCATTATTTTATGTATAACATCTAAAGCAAGTAAGACAGAATTATAGCCCACAGCCAGATGGGAAAGGTAAGAATTTGGTTTAAAAATGCATGGAAGCAGCTCAGAATTCTGATACTGAGTAAAAAGGCCAATTAACACCTGCCTTGCTGACTAATCTACTGATATTCCCAACACCTTTTCTATGTAAGGTAGTGTGGCAGGAGATCTAACTTACAAATCCAAATGAATGTGCGGTCGGTTTACGGCTCAAAAAATACTATTGGGTTAAGGAAAACTTCATTTATTATACAGTTATTTATTTTTTAGTAGATGATAGTTGTAACATGTTAGTCATTTCTGCTTAGAACAAGATAAAATTGTGCCACTTGACTCTCCAAGTGATAGTAATAGTAATAATTGATTGAGCCCCTTGTACATGCCACAGACAGCATTAAATAAATGCACTCTGCCTTATTTTGTCTTCCCATGGAGGTTGGCCCTATTGTCTTCACCATTTTGAAAGTGAGACTCCAAGACATCAAGTGACTTCATTAGAAAGTGGCTGAGCTGGTGGTCAGTTTCTGACTCCAAAATTCTATCACATCCTAATACCTGTCTTCCAACTATAGCTGAATTATAGACAAGATAGCTAAAGAAGAAAAATCAGAGCCCAGTATGCATATGTTCAATTTAAAGTGTCCTAGAAAAATCTTGGGTCTTCAGAAATCATTCCAACAGATGAAATCAAGAAGTTTCCCTCAAATGGAAACCTTCCACAAACGTCGTATCAAGAAAAGCAGGGCATGGTACATGTTTCGAATATACCCCTAGTTTAAGAGCTGCAGAGAGGAGCTAGTTGGCAGAAAATAAAGTAAGTCCTAGAGCAAAGCAGGGAATGAATGGAGGGTGTAGCAGGAGGCAAGCCCTAATCAAAAGTTGTTTCAGGCTGAGCACAGTGGCTCATGCCTGTAATTCTAGCACTTTGGGAGGCCAGATAGGCGGATCACTTGAGGTCAGGAGTTCGAGACTAGCCTGGCCAACATGGTAAAACTCCGTCTCTACTAAAAATACAAAAACTAGCCGGTCATGGTGGCATGCATCTGTAATCCCAGCTACTTGGGAGCCTGAGGCAAGAGAATCACTTGAACCCAGAAGGCGGAGGTTGCAGTGAGCCAAGATCTAGCCACTGGGCGACAGAGTGAGACTCCATCTCAAAAAAAAAAAGAGCTTTTTCTTAAACCAAAGAACCTGGGCGGGACCTGAGCTTGAAAAGAAAATGTTCAGAGTAAAGGATGATAGATGACATTAAACTTTTTCCTGTTAACATCCTTTGTTAGGTGATTGGGTTGATATAATCCATTCATTGTCAATGTTTAATCCAGTCATTTTCAATGTTTATAAAATCCAGTCATTTTCAATGTTTATAAAATCCAGTCATTTTCAATGTTTAATATTGGAATATTAAAAATATTTTAAATATCTAATAAAAATTAATATTTTTCATATAAAAATATTGGAATATTTAAAAAATCACTTCTTGGTATCCTTTTCACTAGTTTTATTTATAAGGAGATCTGGAATGCATAATCCCATTTTATCCTCACAAAAATCCTTTTTTTTTTTTTTGAGATGGACCTCACAGTCACCCAGGCTGTAGTGCAGTGCCACAATCTCTGCTCACTGCAACCTCTACGTCCTGGGTTCAAGCTAGTCTCCTGCCTCAGCCTCCTGAGTAGTTGGGACTATAGGCACCTGCTACCACACCCAGCTAATTTTTGTATTTTTAGTAGAGACGGCGTTTCACCATGTTGGCCAGACTGGTCTCGAACTCCGACCTCAAGTGATCTGCCCCCCTCGGTCTCCCAAAGTGCTGGGATCACAGGCGTGAGCCACCGCACCCAGCCTATTGCCTATTTCTATGCTATTTATGGAAAAACAGAAGCTCATAGCTCCCATCAGCCCCTAGTGAGTACTAATGAATGCATGCCAAATTATGAATTCAGTAACTTTGCACAGGTCTCGGTGGAAGGCAGAACTTTCCTTGAAAACCCCACCTCTGCTCATTTCTACAAAGAATCTTCCTTTCCACTGCTTGCCGTTTGCCTCTCTTCACCTGGTCCATTCCTAAGAAATGTGTAATCTCTGCTCCAAGTTCCCTTCCTAAAACCAGCCTTCCCTCTTCCAAAGTAGGTCTCATTTATCAGTACTCTAAGTCTTTTTTTTTTTTTAGATGGAGTTTGCTCTTATTGCCCAGGCTGGAGTGCAATGGTGCCATCTTGGCTCACTGCAACCTCCACCTCCCGGGTTCAAGTGATTATCCTGCCTCAGCCTTCTGAGTAGCTGGGATTACAGACATGTGCCACCATGCCTGGGTAATTTTGTATTTTTAGTAGAGATGGGGTTTCTCCATGTTGGTCAGGCTGGTCTGGAACTACCAGCCTCAGGTGATCCCTCCACCTTGGCCTCCCAAAGTGCTGGGATTACAGACATGAGCCACTGTGCCCGGCCTTAATCTTTGTATTTTTAGTAGAGACAGGGGTTTCACCATGTTGGTCAGGGGGGTCTCGAACTCCCGACCTAAGGTGATCCACCCACCTTGGCTTCCCTAAGTGCTGGGATTACAAGCATGAGCCACCACACCCGGACATCAGTCAGTACTCTCGGTCTTTAAGAAACCACGTCTTTCTTTTTATAGCATAGTTCAGAATGTATAATGACAGACTTTCTCGTGTATCTGTTGATTGCTTATTTCTCACACTGCAGGCTCCATGAGGGCAGACACCTTCATCATGGTGTCCTTAGCACTTAGCCACAGTGATGGAACACAGAAGTCACAACAAATAAATCACGAATGACTCAATCCATGCTGAATAACTTTAGAGGCCTGAATATGAAATAAAGTGTTAAAGGCAATGTAGTTTATGGGAATGAATGTAAAATGTTGCAGTCTCTCTAGAAAACAATATGGCAATTCCTCAAAAAATTTAAAAAAGGATTACCATTGATCTAGTTATTCCACGTGTGGGTATACAGCCAAAAGAATTGAAAGCAGGGTCTCAAAGCAGTATTTATATACCCATGTTCACAGCAGAATTATTCGCAATAGCTAAAAAGTAGAAACAGCTCAAGTGTCCATGGACAGATGAATGAATAAACTAAATGCAGTCTATCCATACGATGGAATATTACTCAGTCTTAAAAAGGAAGGAAATTCTGATACATGCTACAACATAGATGAATCTTGAAGACATTATACTAAGTAAAATCAGCCAGTCACAAAAGGACAAGGAAATTACAAACTAGATTATCATGATGGTTGCACAACCGTCAGATTCATAGAGACAGAGAATAGAATGGTGGTTGCCAGGGGCTGGAGGGAGGAGAATGGATGAGGGGAAGTTTACTGCTTAATAGGCGTGAAGTCCCAGTTTTGCAAGAAGAAAAGGATTCTAGATAAATGTGTCGATTTTAGCTGCTTTTGCCACAAAAACAAACAAAATCAAGTAACAATGCAAGAAAGATATGCTCATTTGCTTCACTATGTTAATCTTTTTACTATCTATATACATCCCATAACATCATGTAGTATGCCTTA